CTGGGGGGCGGAGCGTGCGCATGGATTTTACGAAGAGGGCCACAATTAGAGATGGTAGAATAACACCATGGCATGGATACACCAGAAAGTCAGCACAGCCCTCCCCTCTCCTCCCTAGCCGAACGCCGGTCGGAGCTGACCGGGGCGGGGTCTCTGGTCTGTGAACGCCAGGCTCCTCTGTTTGCACAGGGCGCCAGTTCGCAGTGTTTTAGCAGTTAGTTGTTTTGCCATATGACATCCCTTGGCGGCAGCGCAGCGAGCGACTGGCTTTTGCTGCTCCAGCAAATTGCAGACAAATTGGCAGCGTGTTCCGATAGGTCATCGACTCCGCCTCTGTTTGGCTTCTCTCTCTCTCTCTCTCTCTCTCTCTCTCTCTCTCTCTCTCTCTGTCTCTGTCTCTCTCCCCCTCTCTCTCTCTCCCTATCCCCCAAGGAGGGTATAGCCTGGGTTCTGTTGTTGTAAACACGCGCACACACGGACGCACACAAAAAAGACAAAACAACACGCATTCCCTTTAGAGTGCAAATTCTACCCTTTCTCCCGCCGACAGTCTCCCTTTACCCCCCTCTCCCATCCTCGCCGAAGCTCTCGATTCAATCAGAGTCGCTAACAACTATTGGCTTGCCTCGTCGTGTTCCCGCCCGGGCGCAGGTCCGACCCGAGGCCGGGGCGCCACGCCAGTCTCCCGGGGCTTTTACTCTCCGTCCTTCTCTCTCCCTCTCTCTGCGGCGCCCCGGCGGCCCGCCCGTGTTCAAACAACATCTCTCCAGACTTAAACTCGTCCGCCCCCGCCCGCCCACCGGTCGGACCCCTACTACTCACTAATCAAACCTCCTGTACAGAAAGCCCCCCTTCTCCCACTGCCCTCCCCCCGGTGGCCTCGGGGGGGTCCTCCAGGGCCTCCGCGGGGGTGCGCTCCGCGCCGTGGGGGAGCCGTCCTGCAGAGAAGGGGAGGGCACGACAGAGATAACGGGCGTCACGGAGGGGGCGGGGGGCAGGTGGTGTTGGTGGTGGAAAAGGGGAGGGGGGGGGGCAGCGGTGGCGGCTCACATAATGGCCGTGGGCACAAGACATTCGAGCCGAGCAGCACGTCGGAAACAGTCGTGGCATTTACGTATACACACACACACACAGGTGGATTCCCCGGGCTGACGGATTTCAAGCGCTCGCAATCATTTCTGCTCGCTCGCGCTGCTTTCTGCGTAAAAGGAACAGATGGACTACCCTTGCTGCTGTGAGATTTCAGAAACGACATCATCTGTGCGCGAGGAAAAATGCACACACTAATGTTGGAAGCGGCTGACTTCTTGGAAAGAAGGAGAAAGAGAAGCAGGGCGCAAACGCAACGTCAGTGGAAGCGACGTGCTCTCTTTGGAACGATAAGCGCATTAGATCGTGTGTATGTGTGTGTATGTGCGCGCGGGGCCCCATCTTGGAGCCAATGGCCAGGGCGTGGCGCAGGCGGGGGCGAGTTGTTACGCCTGTGACTTTATGGTGCAGCGCGACGGAAATGCAAGGAAATAAATCCAGATGCGCTGCGCTTTAATGATATACTGCGGCCGCCGAACCGAGCTGGCGGGGCGTGGCGCGGGAGGTCGTCGGCACAAAAAGTGTGGGGCGCTGCGTCCACCATAAAGTAGTCGCCCTGGCACATTATGACGTGTGTGTGTGTG